CTTGTACTGCAGTAGGACCTGTCAGATGAGGGCTGCAAACCAGTAGAAACCCCAAGGAGGGACTGCTGGCATGGCTAAGAAAGGCATCTCCTGGGGAGTTCCCTTCTTTGACTTCAGGAATTAGTATAACATTAAGTATCTTTGAAAGAACAACCCTCTTTCTATCATCTTTCCCATGTAACTGTTTTCTACCTCTCTACCATACTCATAGTATTTTGAAGGGTTCATTGATAATCCTTGCTGTGAGGCCTTAATATCCTTAATATTGGAAGACAAAAGTCAAATGGCAGTTACACAGCTAAAATTATCTGGTTAGTTTAAGAAACACAAAAATGTATAGCAAATATTTATATAAATTTATTTATATTTCCATAATGTCGTGGAAAGGGACCTGGGGATCATGGTTAATGGCAAGTTGAATATGAGTCAGCAGTGCCCTGGCAGCCAGGAGGGCCAACCATGTCCTGGGGAGCATCAGGCATGGCATCACCAGCTGGGCAAGGAAGGAGATTGTTCTGCCCTGCTCTGCACTGGTGTGGCCTCACCTTGAATGTTGTGGCAGTTTTTGGCACCATAATATAGGAAAGATATTAAACTATTAGAGAGTGTCATAATTAAGCTATTAGAGAGGGCAAAGAAGATGGTGAAGGGCCTTGAGGGGAAGCTGCATAAGGAGCGGCTGAGGTCACTTGGTCTGTTCAGCTTGGAGAAGAGGAGACTGAGGAGAGACCTCATTGCAGTCTACAGCTTCCTCATGGGGGAGGATGAGGAGCAGGCATTGATGTCTTCTCTGTGGTGACCAGTGACAGGATCCAACAGAATGGCCTGAAGTTGTGTGAGGGGTTGTTTAGGTTGGGTATTAGAAAGAGGTTCTTCACCTGGAGGGTGGTTGGCCACTGGAACAGGCTTCCCAGGGAAGTGGTCACAACACCAAGCCTGGCAGAGCTCAGGAAGTGTTTGGACGATACCCTTAGGCACATGTTGTGACTCTTGGGGATGGTCCTGTGCAGGCCCAGGAACTGGACTCAGTGATCATTGTGGGTCCCTTCCAACTCGGCGTATTCTGTGATTCTGTGATAAAAGTCAGATAAAATATAAGGCACAATCTCTAGAAGGAAGTAATTTCTACAAGGGTACCAAGAACAGCATTTAAGAGCAAGGCTAAGTTATGAATCACGTCCTTTAAAGGAACCATTTTGAAACAGGCCATTGTATTTCCTGTAATTATTTCTCTCATTTCACCAGTATTAATGAATGGATATTTGCTGGTTTCATGAGTGTCCACTTTAGTTAAGCTTCATCATATATTAAAGAAATTGATACAATTCAGGGTCTTTGCCCTGAAAGCTAATGTGGGAAGAGCTACCAGTAGCAAAGTCTTTCTCTCAGGATACTTTATTACTGGGTGAAATGCAGCTCTGGGTGAAAGCCTGGTGTAAAATCTGTGTAATAGCTAATTTCCACCAAAACACTCTATCAACAGCATGGTTGGATATTAGGAAATTAGGGACAAACGAGTCTTAGACATTGCAGTTATGAAAGAGTGAATTTTGGCGCTGAGGAGGAATGTGGCTACCCTGGGACGTAGATGCAGTGTGTATACTCCGTAGACAGGAGTATGTCAAAGCTGGAGTTGCGATCATGCTTTCTGGTAAACTCTGTTTTCTGTGACCCAAGGGATTATAGTGGTCTGTCTGTGCATAGCACTGAAACCTTTAAGGTGTGGTTGACCTGAGTGAGTGAATAACCCCACTGAACACAGGGGCCATATCTGTATGCTTGAAATAAAGTGTGTGTATGTCTCATGTTGAACTGGCCTTGGAAACACAAGAGATGTCTTCTGGGAAAAGGAGAGGAGAAGTGGTGGTTGAGAAGGAAGGCAGAGACAAATTATTTGAGAGAGCAGTTACTCCTGGGTAGTTGCATTCGGGAAAAGAGAAAACAGGAACATGTGCTATATCATTCTGTGGAAGCTGCTCATGTCTAGATGTGTGATGTGTCAAATACATAGTAGCACAGACTACTTGGATAAAAAAGTGTGTGTCTCTGAAGTGATGGGTACATGATCACAATGAAATTCCATGTTTTTATTCACATTTCATATGGTGAAATAAAACAGTAGTGTAAATAAAACTGTGATATAAGTATTCTCACAGGAGTTGCATAGGTGAGCTTTTAATATTTAACTTTTGCATATAAACCTGACTATAATTTCTGTAAGCAGCTAGGGACAATTTCTGTGTGTGCTTGTGGGACACAGAATTTCTAGGAAAAAAGTTGAAAAAGTGATTGTTGCATGGCTCCTATAAACCCCCAAGTCCTTCCTTTAAGTCTCAATGTCTCAGAGGCCATTGTGTCTACAAAGGCAGAAGCTGCAGTGCTTTGGTAGCTAGAGGAGGATTTCACTGTATGTATATGGGCCAGCCTACACATATGTGTGAGTTCATAACTGCGTTTCGGAGTCTATACCATAGAGAGGGAAGGTAATGTAAAAGGGTACATACAGGTTTGGAAAATATAAATGGAAGCCATTTTTTCCCCCTGCTGTTGATAGCTTATAGTTGCTAAAAGCATTGCGGTGTATTCTGAAAAAATGAGGGTTACGCAAGTGTAAGCTTTGGAAACTTTGGTTAGACAAGGTCCTGGTGCAAGACAGTAACGGTTCTGTACGGGCTGGAGTGTTTCTTATTGATTGTGCTTGGCACAAGGACGAGAAAGAGTTATTCACAATTGGTAGCAGGGAGACAGAGTGTTTCCCTCCCCATGAAAACCCCGCAAAGTGAACAGATGCCCTCTAATTTCCCATGGCCTATGTCAAGAAGGGTATTTATCACTAATTTAAAAGTATACAGAGAGGTAAATGCAGGAACTGATTTTTTTTTTACCTCGAGTTTGCATAGGAAAATAATTGAAGGCAAATATTGTACGTTATAAGGAATATATGGGTCTGCATTTGGCATTCTTTTGTTGCAGATTACAGACCCAGAGGCCTGATCCTGATGTCAGTGAAGTGAATGGCACATTTCCTATTGATTTCAGGGAAAGAAGGAGCAGACTACAACCCAACATGAGACAGATGAAAGCTGCTCCTTTAGAAGTATGCTACCCTTTATATTTAGGCCCCCAAATAATTTTTTCCTAGTGGCCTGGGAAGTAGATGGACATGAATTGTTTGTATTAAAAGTGTAAGGAGGATTGTTTAAAGATGTAAATGTCATCTTTAACATTGCTGAACCAAAAATATAAAAGATTCTGCCAGTGCATGAAAGTGAAACTAGCTGAGAACAAAAGTGAAACCAACAGGCGACTCTCATTCCCCAGGCTGAGTAAAATGCAGAAAAGTAAATCCTTAACTGTGATGCTAAACAGTAAATTTGAATTATAAAATTTTCTTTACTTTTATTAGCGTGTGAAAGTGTTGCTAGCAGTCTAGATAAAGATTTCCCCTAAGACAGATGTTTTCTTATGATGGTATCTCTTTAAAAAGTCAGAACCAATTAAAAATGTCTGGTTTTTTAATTTATGATGTTTAGGGGCATCTATACATGTTACCCCCTTTTCTTTTCCATGCATTTTCCTTTTTCATGCATTGCATCACAGGCTTGAAAGTCATGTACACTGAACATGCTGATAGGAGCATGTGCTAGAGCAAGACAGGATTGACCTTGCTTTGCAAAAGTATTGGGGACTGTAATCAGCAAGTTTCTAGAGAAGGGAAAGAAAAAGTATCTTTAAAAATATATGAAAATGACTGTAGATTGTGTTTAAGCTGTAAAACACTAAAAAAGGAGATGCAGTGTAGCAAAAGGGAGAGACAGACAGACAGTTCTTCTTGCCCCGTCTGGTATGATCAGAACGAGACAAATGTACAGAAAAGTGGGCAAATACCAAACAAAACAACACCAGAGGGTAAAAAAAAAAGCATTGAGAGTCATGGAGAAAAAGGGAGAATGGAGAAAATAAGTGGTTTAGATAAGTTAACATTGTGCAAAATTCTCCCTTGTTTCACATTTGTCATTGTGTAGGAAATTGGGTGGAAAAATACATGTGCGGCAAGAGTCCACTGTAGATCTAAGCAGTATGAGGAGGGTAAAATATGTGGAAGGAGAAGGGTAAGAGATGGCAGGTGTTTTGGTTTGTTTGGTTGGTTTTTTTTAAAGGCAGTTTAGTCATAAATACTACACCCTACAGTGCTGAGGCTTTCTGACCATGATTTACATTGATAATGCTTAATAAATGACAAACTCAAGCAAGGGTTTTTTTTTAAATTTAGCCCACTGAATTAGTACTCATTATCTTGAACTTTTTTCCCTTTCACATTTGTCTGAAAAAGTATAGAGGGAAAAAGGGGGGGGGAACAGTGTACAGACGGTGATTTTAGCTGGTATCTTCCTTGCATGTGAAGGGACAAGGTAGAAGTCTCAAAACTACAGGCCTATGGAAATTCTGCAGCATCACAAATAAGTACAAAATAACACAAATCACAGAAAAATTGGTAAAGCAGACACCATATTTATCTGGGAAGGTATTTAGCTTTTAAAGCAGAGAAGGGAAAAGTTGCCGTGGAAAGAAATACCTCAGGACTCTGTCTCTCATGTAAATGGCGTAAAAAAAAATTTTCAGTGTATGTAAAATAAATTATTTTTTTCTTTTTCAATGTAAGATCATGCCACTTGCAGTTAAATGTTGCTAATGAGATGGAACATGTAGTGGTATACAGTTTAATACGTTTTAATACTGTGGTATACAGGCCTCTAAGAACTGAAAACCAGGTCGGGAGAATCTGGTACTTCAACTGACCACGTATAGAGGTAATTTTTGGCATGTGCACCTGACTTATCAAAACCAATTTTGAGGACTCTTATTAGAATGCAATAGGAGTTTTTTAATGCTTTTCAGAACCAAGAGATGCAAAGCTTTGTGAGGGTCACATAACTTGAACGTGCAAAAATGTGTCCAGGCATACAATAATTTTAATCTATTCTCTCTTACATTTATAGGGAGCCCGTCACAGCCCCTGTTCTGGACAGAAGGACAGACATCCAAGGGAAACGAGCATCATTTCTCAGGTAAGGTGCTGTTACTGACAGCTTTTGATGTAGAGAGAAAATAACTTTTCTGTTCAGATTAAATAATACCTGACCTTTTGGCCTTTTAGATTTTGGAGTTTATTGACATTTCAGGCAAACACAAATATTTTTGGTTTAGTTTGAGAGAGGTGAGGAGGCAAAGTATTGTGAGGGAGGGAGGTTAATGCCAAGTCCTTCTGAAGTCCAGTCAGTTGCAGGAGAACAGCAGTGCTTGCAGTGGTATACTGGATTTTCCCATTAAAAGATGCAAATGATAGGATATTATAGAAAGATTGATGTATTTGTGAGCCATGGTGTGTGTTTCAGTTCGCCTCATATTAGAGTAGCTAATAAATTGGAAGTAGATGCTAAAATCTGTGGTTGGTCAAAGACAGGGCTAAAAAAAAATAGTTCTTTCTAAATGTACGTGGCTTTATTGTGTTGAAAAGTATATTTGATGTGGTAGCAATTAAAAGTAGTCTGTTTTGATTAAGTTGAAGGAATAAGACTTGTTTTTAAAGCATGCTGGTTAATTAAGCAAGAGTCAGTAAATGGCATAAAGCTAGAGATAGGATGCTTTTTGAGAAAAAATGCAATTCCGTGATGTCAAATTAATCTATAAATAAAATTCTCTGATCAGGAAAGAATCTGTATTTCTGAGATATTTTATACTTTGTGTAAGCTTTTTATACACCAATAGATAGAGGAGCTGTGTTAAAGTGTTGGACTTGCTACTGTGTTATGGTACATCACTTGTTCTTCCTGATTTGAATTGTTGATTCAACTCTGATAATTTAGACAAGAGAGAAATGTAAATTCCATTTATCACATGGGATGTTTGTAGTATTTAAAAAAAGAGAGAGATTAAAAATTATTAGAAGTCTCTAAAGGCTATAATGTTGTTCTGTAACATTTGAAAATGAAAAAATCTAAATCATAATATTTCTACAGGCAAAATAATATACAATATCTAAAAAAAGTATAAACTGCTGTTGGAAAAGTTTTGAAATAAACGATATGTGAAGATAGGTAGTTAGCATTTTTAAGTATTTTTCTTCCCCTATTCTCTCTCTTTTTTCGCAAGGAAAATAGAAATATTTCTTTCAAATAGAAAAGGAATAAATAAATACAATTGGAATGAAACATTATGCTTGATATTTGGTGAAATTTGTTTTCTTATAAGTATTTTGGTTTTAAATGTAAGTGCTGTGAAATAGTCCAGATCTCAAAGTTTGTGGGGAGAAAATGTTTCAGCATCTTTGTTCCTACCTGAGGAATACATTTTAGAAGTCTATTTTCCCTGTTTGCAAAATACATTTTTATTAGATCTATGTATTTGGGTTAAGACTTACTTAAAATTACTTAATTAGGTTATACTGAAATTCTAAGTGATTTAAAAAGAAGGATTATGGTAATATGACAAAACATAACACTATTTTCATTGAAATTCTTAAATAAAGCCCTTTTAACATGACAATTTTAAAAATCTATAAATTTAGGGTGCTAAAATAGTACAAAATACAAAACGGCTGAACTCATAATGAAATGTATAATCCTGTACCAGTGAGCAGGGATTTTGTAGGTACGTCTGGAACATGGGAGGAGATCATTTACACCTTAAGTTTGGTTCTGAGCATTTCTCTTGTTGTGTTGTCCTTTTTATTACTTTATTATGTATACGTAAACACTTATAAAATGTTTGTGGTTGATTTATAAAGAGAAAATGTAGAGAAAGAGGTAGCAGTGTAGGTGCGCAAGCTAGATGGAAATTGATTGTGTTTTCCCAGGAAATTTTGAAAAATATACCAAAGTAAAAATTGCTACAGTAAGGAATAAATTCTGTATAATTGTACTGAAGCCGTTTGAAATAGTGTGGCTGTGAATTGTCTTTAAAAACCTCTTATAAGTGTGCGAAAAACAGGGCAACATTAAAAAGTTTTCTAATTGTATTTTATCTAGATAAATCTGTAGGCTTGTTAGGCTGATTTAAGGGGCAGGGTACTAAAAAATGAACTTTAAAAAAGGAGCTACATATGTGCTTTTCTCATAGATAGTTTTTTTTTCTAAAAAGGAAAACGTATGTGTTTCTTTCCTCTGTGTTGTTTATGGTTTGAAATAAATAATAAATTTGTAGTGATTTATTTTTTAAAAAGAACTATTTCTATGAAAAATCTGGCAGTAGGTTTGTTTTACTTGTAATTTAATTTTTGAGAAATAGCAGAATGTTTCTGGATATTTGCATTTGTTTCAGAGGTTGGAGCCTAAGCCAGATTTCTGTGTAGTCTGTCAGGCAGTTAGACGTCTGGGCATGTTACAGTTTGTAGCACTACAAATTAGATCCATTTGACTTGTGTTTGCTGCACGAGGCTTTCATAAAAGGAAAAAAAATTGCAATTAAAATGGAAGTATAGGGGACGAGCTGTCTGTGTGCACGGGATGTGTTTCGGGGTGCGATGCTGAGCTGTGGAGGGGCTCGGGTGAGACCCAGTGGATTTTACTCTGAGGTGCTGCTTCTGCCTGAACTTGTGATATCTGCACCCCCTACCCCCTGTCCCTCACTTACTTTATAAATGGGTTATGACTCTCTGGGTTATTTTTTAGTTTGCAGCAGGTTAGTTGCATGCACATTGTTTGCTACTTATTTTAGGAGAGGAGCTGACAAACTGCTGTATGTGTTAGTCATACGTATACTGAGCACCTGTATGAAGTAGTGTATGGGAAGGAGGACAGAACAGGAATGTGTTACTGAGTTTTCGCATTCGTTTCACTGCAGGATAGCTCAGCATTTGCCAGTAACTTTGTCCCAAAGTTTTCTGGGGTTTGTAAAGCTATTTTTTAGTTAATTTATTACAATTTGCCCCCTCAAACAAAACAAACAAAAAACCCCAAACAGTTGGTAGAAGGTATTTCAACTGCTTTTTATTATCTGGCAGGGAGCGTGTGCTTAACACCAGTAACAAAGAACTGTGGCTGGGGACCAGAAACCACAGTGCGGGAGCACCGAATGCCGCCCTAGCATCAGCGGCCCGGGCCCCGCCGCTGGGCCGGGCCGGGCCGGGCCGCTCGGAGCGAGCTCCGCCGCTGGGCCGGGCCGGGCCGGGGCGGGGCGGGGGCGACCCTTCCTCCTGAGGCCGCACAGGAGCCGGGCTGGGGTCTGGGACGGGACCCGGCGAGCAGCGGCAGAGGCGGTCGGGGGGGCCGTGCGGGCCGGCAGAGGCGCCTCAGCGCCGCAGAGGGTTAACGACGGCGGGGCCGCGGGGCCCGGCGGGACTTGTAGGCGCCGCGGCATGACGGGAAGTGGCGGGAGCGGCTGGGATACGGCGGGAACGGCCGGGATACGGCGGGAGCGGTTCCGACGGCGCCCGCCTGGCCCAGGGTGGTGAGGCCGCCGCTGTCCCGCCCGGCCGGCCCGTCCGCACTCAGCCGCCGCGCTGGGGCGGCCCGTGCCCGGCCCGAGAGCTCGGGGAGCGCCGGCGTTACCCCCGCGCCCCGACCAGCGGCCTCGGGGCGCGGCCCGGCCGGGTGCGCTCCTCGGGCGGCGGCAGGTCAGTGGTGGGTTCCTCCTTCCCCCGGGGCCGGGGGTGCCCGGCCAGCCCTGCTCTGCCCCGCTGTCGACGGGGCCGGGCGGCCGGAGCCTCCCCGTGCCGCCCGCGGCTCCGCGCCCGGGCCGGGCTGGCGGGCGGTGCCGCTGGACGGGGGGACACCGGCCAGGCTCGGTAGGGCTCCCCCGAACCCCTTCCCTCCCGAGGGGATTCGCTTTGGTTAAACAACACGAGCGGTTCCTCCGCGCTGGCGCCGGGGCTCTCGCCGCACCCATGGCCACCCGGGGCCGATGCGCCGGCGGACGGGCTCGCTGCGTGTGCGGGGCCGCGCTTCCACTCCGTGCCGAGCACGGATGCTTTCCTGCGGCCTCCGCCGCCAGCCAGCCTGCTTGGGTACCAAAGGCACGCACGTGGCAGGAGGAAGGCGCATTTTTTTATCTGCAAGTTTTGGGATTGGTTTGCTTGTTTTTGTTTTTTTTTTTGTAATGTGAAGTGGAAAAATTAAGATGCATAAACGTGCTGAAGCGCGTTGAAGCTACGGAAGGACAGACCCAGGAAGCAAACAGGACTTGGCAGTCCACCTGATAGCAGGGTTTTTTCTCTGTGCACCAAGTGGGGAGGGAAGAAAGAGGAGGAAATATACTACGTGTTAATTTAATTTATGCCAATTGTGGGCCCAAAGTGCAAAATCAACTTCTTGTTAAACATTCTGATGTTTTAAAGTAACTTTTTAATTAACTGGAGATGTATGAAAGGAATGAAAAATAATAAATCAGTCTGAAGTGAAATTGGTAAATTTTGTTTGGGTTCTTTTGTTTTCTTCCTTACTTTTTGGTTACAAGTCTTGAGATATAGTGGTGCCATGCATCAGCAGTCAGCTGAACTTGGGGCTGAACGTGCTTAAACTTCTCATGGGAGTGAAACAGGGAAGATTCTCATTAGGTTATTTTCCTTTGTAGTAGTAATCCTCTTGAGATTCAGAAGAAAACATAATTTATTTGTTAACAAATAAGTGCAAAAAACCCTACTATTGAGTTCAAACAAAAAAAAAAAGGAACTATGCCGTAGTAGGTTTGTTTTCTATTGCACATGTTACAGTTCAGTTCTGAGAGGAGGTATGTGAGGAGCTGCACAAACATTTGTGTGTCTGAAAGCACATCAGATTTTGCCAGTAATCATCACCTGAAATACAGTCCTTAATATATACATAGATGGGTGTAATTCTCAGAAGAAAGCAAAGAAGTGATGATGATTATTATTATTTTTAAGGGAAGGTATTGTTCCAGTGGAGGAAAAAACCCACTGTTTTTCTTATTAAAAAAAATTGTTACTAGACAGAGAAAAGGGGTAAGTGCCTGAAGTACCAGCTTTATAATTCCTGGTGGTTTGGACTTGCAGAGTTAAGCTGTTGAAGATGACTTGAGGTACAAAATTATCAAGTCCAGAACAAAACAAAGT